TTCCGTGTTTTAAATATATATATATATATATATAAATCTAATGTTAATATTTTAAGCAGAATTTGGAATCCTTAGTTCTCACCTCGGTTTGTGGAAGAGGAGGGCAGGGTGGGAGCGCCAGACGCTCCTGCAGGTCCTGGTGCTGTGAGCACGAAGCAAATTGGGCTGCTGTGGTGCAGGTGGTGCTGAGGGACACCCTCGGCCTCGCTCCCTTTCCCAGTAACGTTTCTCTTTATTTCTAAACTCATTGGATGTATTCATCTTTCCCGACGTCCCTGGCCTCTGTGCCACCCCTTTTGTCCCTGTCCCCAAGTGCTCTTGCCAAAATCTATGACAGACTCTTTGCAACTGAGCTGAAAACAGTATTTCCTCCTCCTCAGCCTTGGTTTTCAATAGTAAATTGACTTTCTCCTGAAGAGCCATTGGTCATCTGACTTCCATGACATATCCTCCAGGAGACCCTACTTATTTGCAGCAAATGAAAGTTTCCCTCTCTTCTATACATGCATGATTTAGTAAAAAAAAAAAAAGTAGTAAAAAATAAAAAAAAAAACACACCTCTTTTATGGTGCTTAAGTGTTGTTACCCTTCCATGAGATCATCTGAGAATTGAGACAGAGGCTGAAGACTGTGTGAAGACCGTGTCTGGAACCACTGGTTAAACGTGATTTTTTTCCATTCACCATTCATGCCATGCTGGGTACCACTTCTGAGTGTGTTCATAAAGCCAAACCCCTTGTCCTCTCCTAACTCAGTCAATGAAGCTTTGTTTTCTTTGGGTATGGAAAATGCAGGGTAGCTCCACTTCGATCTCTCGAGAACACTGCCTGATTCACTGCTGCAAAGGACATTTCTGTGGCCGATGATTTCCACCTATTTTTGTTCCCTTTCCCAGCTGGCACATAGTTATTGGCATAAAGTGCTCGTGTCCTCCGTGTTGTCTCTCGTCCGGTGTCGGGGAAGTCTGCTGTGCCACTGAAATCGTTCTCCACCGCCCACTTGTCACACTTTCACACAACACCTCGTCCTTCCTCCTTCCATCTCCTCACACTTGGGAGAGATTTCCACAAATATGCAGAGCCACAACTCTCTAACACCTTCCCTAAAATACTTTCTCAAATACCAAAAAAAAACCCTTCACAGTTACTAGATTAATAGTGTGCTGAAATCAGTGCCATCATGCAGATGAATGTTGTCCCATTGCTTGCTTTCACTCTCCTGCCCATGTTTGTTTACAGTCATCATCTTATATTTAAAGTATAAACCATCAGGATAATGTGGGACTAGGGATGTAGGCATCATCATGATGATAAATCAGAGAGATGGTGGTGAAAAATAGTAAAGTGCTGTAAGGAAAATTGGAACCAGTGAAATCTTCTTCAATACTTCCACCTCTGAAAAGTTGTTCCATGAAAGGCCATGTAATTTAACATACAAAATGAAGATTGTATTAAAACCAAAGTTACAGCAGTTTGCAATAAGACATTCACAACAGCCATTCTCTTCTTCCCCTCCCTGCCCCCGCTCTGGAGTGAAAGACAATGTGACACAGTAACATGAGTGATTTCTGATTTTGCAGTAATCATATGATAACTTTAGAAATGAACAGACTTGAAAAGACAAATAGGAATATATATAGGATTGGAAATGCAGCTGCTGGCAGTAACAACACAGAAGCCATCTCAACCTGTATTTTCAAAACAAGAGGGGTTGCCCTCCTCTTTGTATTTCAAATATATTTAATGAACACCACAGCACTTACTGTTAAAATCATTTTTTACTTTCCAGTCTAAAATGTGCTGGCCAAAGTATATTGTCTATTCTTGCATCATGTCAAATCTTTTCCCTCTTCGTGGTTGACATCTTTGATGTGTGTACAGTGGGAAGCATTTCATATCCTTTTAGATGTCATCTTGCTAGATATTGCATAAGTTTGTCTTATAAAATAGGATTTCAGCTCCCCTGATCACCTTAAGAGTATTTCTTTGCATGTTCAAATTCATCTTTCTTCATCCTTGAGAGACAGATTTGTCTGTAATATTCCAGAATGAGGTCTCACGAGTGCTTTGTACAGCGCATTAAGTTTTCCCTATCTGAACCAGAAATATATCTCTTTGTGTCTCCAAAAATCACATTTGTCTTTGTCAGGGCCACACGGTGATCTATAATCATTCTGAATTTTATTTCCAACTGTCTTTTCCGATGGATGACTCACACCTTCAGCTCACAGTTTCAATCATGGTAGCTCCTAAACACGATACTTACTATATTTGCATTATTGAATTGTTGCAAGGCTTAAGGTCAAGTACATTCTCCTCTGTGAAGCCCTAATCCTCATCGCTGTTGACAGTAATTCCAATTTTTGTCATCTAATCAGTACCTTCTCTAAATAACTGTCACGGTGCCTGCGTAACAGGACCAGACAACACTGTTGAACTCAGCAAATACTGCCACCATATGTAGAAGAATTATGGCCACTAAGGGTCAGTAGTGCTTACGTTTTGCTATAGTTTTGTGGTTTCCCTGTGACAGCTGAAGTCGCTACAGACAAAAAGCCCTCTAGATGGCTGCATAATACAAACAGTTTGCAATGCAAAAGTGGCATTGCAGGTTTAAAATGGAAGGAGACATAACAAGCTACATCATTTACAGCAGGTTACATCTAAAACGACATCTTTCTAATTAGTTCTGTGGTGACATCCAGGAGTCCACGCGTTTCTGTGACTAAGTGGCTATTCTTTCGCAAAGTTCACTGACAAGCTAATTGAGCAAGAACACTGACAAACTCTGACAATGGCCCCATCTGGGAGAATTTGCTTCTAAATTACATGGTGGGGGGGAGGTTCACCCATATTCAGTGGATTTTATATAGCAAAATGTGACAAGAATCTCAATGAATTACTTTACAAGACTAGCTGTAAACTAAGCTGTTGAACATAGCTGGCATGAGCTAGGTATCTACATAGCCCTCACAGCTTTAGACGGCATGGATAAAAAGAGAATCCTGCTATTGCTATGGTGAATGGCTATGAAGAAACAAGCCTGAGAAATGGTATCAGAAAGTCCCACTTCTAGTGTGATCAATAAGGATTCAAGGAGCTTTTAAAATGTTTCTTGACATCCCGGCACCTGCGAAAGCCTGCTGGCAGCCTGTTCCAGGCACTCTGCACTTAACAAGAAGCGATGTTTGATGCTTGCACCCTTGAGTCAGGTTTCTCTGAAGCGAAAATATAGCAAACCAGTGTGGACAGAACCATAACTTGCGTTGGTGGAGGTGCTTCTCTGGGGCACAGGGAAGAAAAATGCGGACAAGCGCATCTTGAGAATGGCAACAGGGTGGAGAGGCAGCAGCTTGCAGAAGAGATTCCTGTATGGCTACCAAAAGCCAGCAGGAAGGCATACAGAAAATAAAGCCCAGCTTTAGCAGAAAGTCAATTCATCTTTTTTCTTAACCTTCATTTTTTTTTTCTGAATTTGCTATAGCATTTGTTCATTGTCTGATACTGATGAAGTTGAATTTGTTGAACCTGGATTCATGAACAATTTAAACCTTATCTATACTCTTTTTTTTCAGAGCATAGAGGTGTCACATAGGCACACAATTTCTGACTGTCAAAGCCCTAGCATAAATTAAATTACACAGGGGAA